GAATTATTCAGTCTCGCTTATCACATCCTTCCCTTTGCTTCCTAATTATAATGAAACCAATTAAGGTTTCTGGAGACAGATGAATGAGAATGAAAAAGCAACTCCGCTAAATGGAATTGGGAAGTCTTTATAAGCACAGGAACCAGTAGAGAAAGAACAGAGATGAGAGCAGAGGGGGGAAAAAGGCAAATAGGATAATCGTTCTTATGTACTTGAAGATACCGGACCGATTTTATGACGCTAGCTCTCTGGGAGTGAAAAGAAACTTTAGAGTATAACAAAAGTATTGTGTACTTTATGTACTGCCAGAATGGCATGCAGTGACCTTAAAACAGGGATCAACAACCTATGACCTGCAAAGCCATTTGATCCCACCCAGGGATGTGGGGATTTGGCAGCATTCTGAGACAGGGAGCTTTCCCCAGTGCTCCCGCAAAAGAGACCTTGGAGTCACTGTAGATAGCTCTTTAAAAGTGTCAGCTTAATGTGCACCAGCCACCAAAGAAGCCAATAAAAATGTTGGGCTTTATTAAGAAGGGAACTGAAAATAAAATGACATTATATAAATCGACTGTAAGCCCACATCTTGAATACCGTGTGCAGTTCTAGTCTCCGCATCTCAATAAGGATGTAGCAGAATTAGAAAAGGCAAAGAGAAGGGCAACTATGATGATCAGGAGCCTGGAGCAGCTGCCATACCAAGACAGAATAAAGGCTAGGAGTCTTCAGTTTAGAAAGAAGGCTGAGGGGGGATATGATAGAGATCTATAAAATCATGAAGGGTATGAACCAAGTGGACACCCTTGGTCGTCTCTTCCCCCTACTTCTAGTATTCTGGGACTCGGTGAACCAAGTGGACAGGGAATTGTTGTTCACCAAATCTCAGAATACTAGAAGTAGGGGGAACTTGCTGAAATGAGTAGGTAATGGGTTTAAAACTAACATGAGAAAATACTTTTTAAAGCAACATATAGTTAACCAATGGAATTAATTTTCCTGGGGGTTGTGGAGGCAGATAAAATAGCCAGGTTAAAAAAGGGACTGGATAAGTTTGGATGACAAATCTGTCAATGGCTAATGAACAGAATGCCTGGAGATGTTTCCTTTGGCATCTCTAACTAATGGTGGATGCCAGGAAGGGTACTGAATAGGGGATGGTTCACTCCAGAGATGTTCTCCCTCTAAAGCATCCACTTCTGCCATTGCTGGAGAGAGGATACTGGGATAGATGGACCATTGGTTTGACCCAGTATGGTACTCCCTGTTTCTTATATTCTAGTGCATTCCCTCCTGCCTGCCAGCCTCTGCCCCAAGCTTGGCCATTCTGGTCTGCAACCTGAGAAGGTTGCCAGCTGCTGCCTTAAGGTATTAAAAAGCAGCCTGTATCAGCCTAAATATTCTTGAAAAGAAAAAAAATGCTACACATACAGGTTTTGATTCTACATAGTCTTTGATGTAGAAGCTATACAGTCTTTGATGTGAACAGTGCTTTCCAGCTAAAAAAAGAGCAGGAGGAAAGGTGAGAAGATGAAAAAGTTATTTACACAGCTTAACAGTAACCCATTCATGCAGTTAAGCTTGGAAGTCCTCCAAAGACAGAGACCTTTTCCAGTCCTCCTGGGCCAGGCAGAACAGTGATTCTCAAACTTGGTGCTGAGGTACCCTGGGTGCCACCAGATCCTTTGAAGGGTGGTTTGAAGAGAAGTGAGGTGTGAACTGAGAAGCAAGTGCAGGCTCAGTTTTGTCCCCGTCTGGATGATTTCTTACCTTGACCTCTCCCCCCTGCCCCCCCCCTGCAAGGAGGTAAGCAGTATAATATATAAATAAGTTTTTTAAAATTGGGTGCCACTCAATTCACAAAAGTTATAGAGGGGTGCCTCCAGTCCAAAAAGTTTGAGAACCACCGAGATAGAAGATGACAAAACAGCTAGGTCTCAAGTAGTTCTTAAGTGGGAATAAGCATGACATATATGCCTGTTACGTTTAATTTTTTAAAATAAAATGCCCTAATTTTTTCTCCTCTTCCCATGCTCAATAGCACTTACGAAAAATGTGCACGTGCTATGCCACATAAAACCCACTGCATAAAAGAAATGACCTTAAAATGCAAATGACAAAGCAATGCATTAAAACAGAAGAATTCTCAGGGTTGGTTGATTTGGTAGAAATATCTTCCCCATATAGAAAAACTTGGAAAAGAAAAAACTACACAGAAATGTCTAGCAGCCAGTAGTTTATATTGCTGATTATAGTAAGCCAGCTGCTTATCAATATTCATACTTGAAAAATAATGGCTTAAATTGCAAAGTTATGCAGTTTATGAAGTTTTAATACATTTTCCCTAACTGCAAAATTTATCAAACACTTGAAATGAGTTAATAAAATCCTACTTCTTGACATTTAAAACTGGACAGAATGGACAAAATATAGAGTAATAAGGAATATTTCTGTACTGGTAGGGATATGCAATGAGTCACTTTATTCCTATGAATATTCAACAATATACAAGAGATGCGATTAAAAAAAGAAAACCTATACACATGCTCCAGGGTGGTGGGAAGGGAAGTTTTAATTACAGTGGCTCTTGGGAGCTGCATTAATTAAAATTCGTTTATTCAGCATCCTATTTTTCAAAATAGCAGTGGGGGTGCTTTAACTAAAGCTTGTTCAACAAGACATAGTTAAAGTGCCCCTGCCACCATTTTAAACAAAGAACGCTGAATACATGAGATGCACCAGGACACTAGAGCATTCTAATTCGAACGCTTCAGCAGACCTGGTTAAATTAAGTCTGCTCCGATGTGCTCTAACTGGAACGCTGGAGCATGTGTAGATAGGCACCTAGTCAGCACTCAATTGAAAAACTCCACTGAAATAAATTTGATACACAAGTCCTATTTTTAGGGACCTACCTAATTCACAGGGGCTGCCCTGCCCCCAATTTTATGGTCGCTGCACGTGTCACCATTTTTGTGGTGGAGCATAGTGGGTCCCCCTATGCCTGATTGGCTACAGGGCCCCAGAAATCTCCCCCCCTGCCCAGAGATTTATTCCAGGTGGCCACCTGCCAATCTCTGGGGAGGGGCAGGACTTTTGGAGCCCCTTGGCCGCAGGCATGGAGGACACACTAAACTCCTCTACAAAATTCCCTGCCCCACAGTGCTTCATGATGCCAGGGCTTCCCGCCTCTGCTTCCCTTTCTTCCCTCCCTCCCTCCCAGCTGGACATTTTCCAGTTTTTTGTGGTCCCCATGCTTTTTCACAGGGGACCTACCAAATTTACGATTTCTGCAAATACTGCATTACTGCAAATTTGGTAGGTCTCTACCTACTGTATTTATTCGAACATAAGATAATTCTGATTATAAGATGACCCCCCAATAATCAGATTCTGTATGTGGAAAATTTATAAATGTATATAAGTTCTGCAGTTACCATGAACACATTTAGTTTTGTGTAATTACACTCAGGACTTGTTTCACACAATATAGTTGGAAAACATGTAAAGAGCTTGGGCTTTTACCACTTTAGGAGATTATTCCACAGCAAAACTCTTATATAATTTCTCACAGTGAGGAAATTCTTTTTAGGTTCAATCTAAAATTTGTTTTTTTTCTCAGTGTTATTCTATATTACTTTTCCCTCCTAATATGCTAAATAAAATACTCATTTCTATTAAAAAAAGATACACGATTCAATTATTTACAGACTGATTTTTCTGTATTTATCATTCAGACAAGTTACATGATGGATCTTTGCAGAGAAGTTTGCAAGAAATGACACTAATGTAACTTGCTGGGAAAATAAGAGAATAGTCTAAGTCACTGTCCAACTGGCAGCCTTCAAGCTGTGCACAGACAATGCACCCCCAAAGTGTTTCGACTGCAAGTGGAGTCTCCCATCTGCCCCCGCTGCCACTTCCTGCCCCCAGCTCAAGGGGTGGAGCAATACCGCAGCATGGGGAGCTGAGGGCGAGGCCACAGTTATGTGGGCACAGTGTACTGGGGGAGTTGAGGTAGAGGGGAAGGAGGCTGTGGGTGCACGGTGCAGGGGTGGAGAGAGTCATGGGTGCACAGTGTAATGGGGCAAGAGGCAGGACATCCACAGGGTGTGCAGCCTGGATGAGGTGGGGTGGGAAGGGGTTGTGGCTCACCCTGGTGCAGCCTGCACAACACACAGTTCTTTCTGTGGCCTGCCCTGCTTTAAGTATCACTTCTTGGCTGAAGTGTGCTGTACCCTTATCTAGTAGTTGTTCCATATGCAATGTTGGAGTTCACTATAATTATAATGTAATCCAATTTTTATTTTAGCTCTTTACAAATCAGTAAAGGAAAAGTGACAAGAGATGCTAGGGCAGCACAATCTGATAATACAAGCACATAGTCTCAGGAGACAGCAAGCAGAATTCTCTTGAGAGTTCTGGCACTCGTTAAGGAGGAATTAAGTTACAGTAGCATATTATTATCCATTCACATTTTTTACATTTTGTGCCAGGGGCTGGCAATTTAACACTGTGGAACTAATGGAAGCTTTTCCTGTGCCATGGCAGAGAGAAAGCAGCAGTGGTGGATGGGTCCTGCACCTGCCTACCTCTGACCTGAGCTGGGTCACTCCAGCCCACGGGCTGAAAAGGTTGTTTTATGCTGTTGTTAAATACTAAGTCATAGCACCTGCTTAATGAAATAACACTTAAACTACCACTTGAAAGCAGGAACTTTGTAGAAATTTGCAACTCTCATATAATGTTTCTTTCTAGAATGAGAACTGTAAGTACCCAAGTGTATGGATCGTGGTTGACACTAGTACTTTATGCTTATCTTTACAGCTGTATAATTCCTAGGAAAGCTAAGAATTAGCTTTCCTTTCCCTAATAATCCTGGGCTCTCTCTCTGCTGCTACTTGCTAATTTAAATTATCTTGTTTCATTCTGATTTCAGTAAGTATTTCATTATTCATATATATTTTACCCAAATTCAACATAAGAACATATTTCAAACTTACCTGATGAAGGTCGTTACCCAGTGTACATTCCTGAAAGTAACCTGGTGCAGCAGATGATGCTCTAATAGCCTGCCATAATTTATACTGACATCCTCCAATATAATGAGATGTGACACCTGGAAGGTGGTTGTAGTTTCTAAAAACAAATGCTTTCAGTGGCGTTCCTCTGCTTACAATGGTGCTCACTGCAGCTACCTAGGAATTCAGGAGAAAAAAAAAAGAAAAAGATAAATTTCAGAGGAAACAATAGCATTTTCTTCCAGAACTAGTGAATATAGATACTGACTTTGTAAAACACCTAGCCTTCCAGGTAGGTAACACAACAGGCACTGTATTATGTTTATTTCTGTACTGTATTTTGAAACTAAGGAATATAAAAATGTAAAAAATTAAAGCAAATATTACCAAACCTGACAGGCATTTCAAGAACTCATTTTTAAGGAAACCTACCAAAAATTCAGAGCGAATTAGTTTAGTTCTGCTTATGTTGGCTCAAACCACCATATACACATGGGGACATTCAGTAGAGCCCTCTCTGAAATCCTCTAACAGAATAATTTGGCTATACTTTAAATGATGGCTCCCTAAACACATCTGGAATGCATTGAAAATAGTAAGATTTTCTCTCTATTTTACCTTAAGTGAGGGTACATTCAAGTTCAAACTATGTCCTATTTTATATGAATACAGTAGCAATCATGTGATGTATGCCATATATTACCAAGATGTAGTAAAACAGGTAAACACAATTCATATCACTAGCTTGAATCCATCTCTTAATTCAATATACGTGTTATACCCCTGATTTCTGTGGGATATTTTTTCCAAGATTTTTTTCCGTTTTTTCTGTTTCAATCCTCAAAGGTCTTAAGTCATGTCCCGTTGCCCTCCTGGTTGTAAAA